GACATTCAACTTTAAAACAGATTAATCATTGCGAGTTGTTATCACGACTTATTGATTCCCACGAGCACGGATATAGATTGTGAATGAATGTGAGCGGCCATGCGTGACCCGACATCTGTATATTTGTTTCCATATATGGAAAGTGACCTCGCATCACATCGCGACCTACGGCCCGGGAGGTGGCCTCGCGCTTAAATCACTTCCCCTTTCAATTGTGTAAGAGGAAGGGGTGGGAGGCCGGGGTCAGGGGGTGGGTGGGGAGGAAAGGTGACATCGCGAGCGTCCGACACGAACAGATGTGCGGAACCAGTAAGTACAGGAAGATGTGTGATGGCAACATTGCGGATGTTTATTCGACGCCACTATCTTATGACGGTATGATTAATACCACTGCAGACTCTTGTATGAGATTTACAAGGAAATGTGTGTTCGTAGGACGCTAAATATTCCTCGCATTTTTCGTTCAACAAGGACGTAACCTGTTCTAGATAGATTTTATGACTTTAAGTATAGGATCTAATTTACCGTAACAATTTATCATTTTGTTTTTTCGCACTAACATTTTCGATTTTTATAAAGGATGGTAATTTTATCATCATGCTTAAATGGCCTCAATATTGAACTGACCGATTACCTTCGAGTGAAAAAGCCTCCATTCCAAGGCGTCTAACACGAAAAACCTTCATAATGTCTGTCGATAGTTAATAATTGTCTCCCACAATAAGTGGGCGGTGGGGTAGCCTTGTGGTTAAAGCGTTCGCTCTCACGCCGAAGACCCGGGTTCGATTCCCAACATGGTTACAATGTGTGAAGCCCATTTCTGGTGTCCCCCGCCATGATATTGCTGGAATATTGCTAAGAGCGGCGTAAAACCATACTCACTCACTCGACAATAAGTAAGACCGAACATATACCGAGAGAAATAACTACTTTTAATTTCTAAAAAAACACACTATCAGCCATGTCACACAATGTAGCTACCCCATCTACGCCGTCGGGGCACGATGACACACAATCGCACAGCCTTATCACACAATGTGTTCACCCGATCCACGCCGTCGGGGCACGATGACACACAATCACACAGCCATGTCACACAATGTGTTCACCCGATCCACGCCGTCGGGGCACGATGACACACAATCACACAGCCACGCCACACAGCGTAGCCACACGATCCACGCCGTCGGGGCACGATGACACACAATCACACAGCCATGTCACACAATATGTTCACCCGATCCACGCCGTTGGGGCACGATGACACACAATCACACAGCCATGTCACACAATGTGTTCACCCGATCCACGCCGTTGGGGCACGATGACACACAATCACACAGCCACGTCACACAGCGTTGCCACCCGATCCACGCCGTCGGGGCACGATGACACACGATCAGCCAGCCACGTCACACAGCGTTGCCACCCGATCCACGCAGTCGGGGCACGATGACACACAATCACACAGCCATGTCACACAGCGTTGCCACCCGATCCACGCTGTCGGGGCACGATGACACACAATCACACAGCCACGTCACACAGCGTTGCCACCCGATCCACGCAGTCGGGGCACGATGACACACAATCACACAGCCATGTCACACAGCGTTGCCACCCGATCCACGCTGTCGGGGCACGATGACACACAATCACACAGCCACGTCACACAGCGTTGCCACCCGATCCACGCCGTCGGGGCACGATGACACACAATCACACAGCCATGTCACACAGCGTTGTCACCCGATCCACGCCGTCGGGGCACGATGACACACAATCACACAGCCATGTCACACAGCGTTGCCACCCGATCCACGCCGTCGGGGCACGATGACACACAATCACACAGCCACGTCACACAGCGTTGCCACCCGATCCACGCCGTCGGGGCACGATGACACACGATCATCCAGCCATGTCACACAGCGTTGCCACCCGATCCACGCCGTCGGGGCACGATGACACACGATCATCCAGCCATGTCACACAGCGTTGCCACCCGATCCACGCCGTCGGGGCACGATGACACACGATCATCCAGCCATGTCACACAGCGTTGCCACCCGATCCACGCCGTCGGGGCACGATGACACACGATCATCCAGCCATGTCACACAACGTTGCCACCCGATCCACGCCGTCGGGGCACGATGACACACGATCATCCAGCCATGTCACACAACGTTGCCACCCGATCCACGCCGTCGGGGCACGATGACACACGATCAGCCAGCGAGGTTACACAATCTGTCCACCCGATCCACACATGATAGTCGATCCGAGAAGATTCGGGGTAGAATAGGTCTTCAACAACCCATGCTTGTCGTAAAAGGTGACTATGCTTGTCGTAAAAGGCGACTATGCTTGTCGTAAAAGGCGACTGACAGAATCGGAAGGTCAGATTCACTGACTTGGTTGATGCATGTCATCGTATCCCAATTGTGTGTATTGATGCTCATGATATCAATCACTGGATTGGAGGGTCCAGATTCGATTATTTACAGACCGCCGTAATATAGCTGGAATATTGCTGAGTGCGACGTTAAACAACCAACAAACATATGATAGTCGGCTCTTGAAACAGGCATGGGGTGCTGGTGAGCTCCTCTGCCCGATATCACACAGGGACATACAAGGCTCCTAACAGTGACAAGAGAGTTCTGAATGGCGAACGATTTTTGAACCAGTCATTACAAAACATCTCACATATGCGATATACATGTGACGTGTCAGCTGAACGGCTATACGCGATCGTTAAACCTTAGAGTGTAATTGTGAAGCAATAACATGCCGGCGATACATAATGTTACTGTTGGTGGGTGGGTGTTGAGTGAGTGAGTGAGTTTAACACAGCTTTGAGCTTGTCCACATCTACGAACAGTATCTCAATTATATCACGGCGTGTCAGCTTGACGTGTGGGGAAATCCCGAAGTGATGCAGATCAATGTTTTTTCCACTTCGGTAAAGCCCACCAGAACGGGCATGGTGCTGACAAACCTGGAAACATAATCAGAGAATTTAGGATTCGAACCTTCTGAAACAGACCCACGGTATCTGTATAATTATAGGGTAATCCTAGGGCTAAAAGTGTATCTCTGGTATCTGCGCGTCACTTTAAACCCTGCGCGTCAACCATTTGTATTTCCAATAAAACATATATATTTGACAACTGACATTGTATTAAAAAGCCCAGCTCAGTGTGTGTTCAGTTGTTTTTGTTGGTGTTCTTGTTTGGGGAAAAAAAGGTTCTTCCCTCTTCACTTTTGTTTTCAAGAAAAAAAAATGTTTAAAAATTCCTATCTTCCCCCTTACCCTTGATACCCGTGAAGATCCGGGTTAGAATGGGTCTTCAGCAACCCATGCTTGCCGTAAAAGGCGACTATGCTTGTCGAAGGAGGCGACTAACGGGATTGGGTGGTCAGGCTCGCTGACTTGGTTGATATGTGTCATCATATCCCAATTGCCTGGATCGATGCTCATGATGTCAATCACTGGATTGTCTGGTCCAGACACGATTATTTACAGACCGCCGTCATATAGATGGAATATTGCTGAGTTCGGCGTTAAACAAACAAATAAAAACATCAACAATTTCTCGCAAATGATAGTGTCATTTTGGTATTTCCTCACAGCGTACGCTATATCGTGATTGATGTAACATGTCTATAGAGAGACAAAATGTTCATGTTTATAATCCGTTCTTGTAATACCTTAGCTACGACACATGAAGAAGCTACAGGTTGTCTCCCCGCTGTAGGAGTGAGCGTTGTTCAGGTCGTGCCATACACTCAGTGTTGTACACGAGACGGGGACTAGCGGCAGTAATTCACACATTCCTGTGTCCAAAAAGTATCATAAACCTGCCGAGCCCGATTAAATCACGCTCTCTTCTCGCGGTACACTACTGTACTTACATTGTTTGAAGGTGGTGGGTTAGTTTAGAATATCTTTGCAAAACCTACATTGAAAAAAACTCTTAACAGGGCTGATCTATAAATAACAAAAAATGCTATATGAATTATTACATTGTGTTAACCCTATAATGAACATGACGTTATGGCAATTTATCACCCTTTATTGTAACAATGATATACAAACATATTAAAGTGTACCACGATTTGTGTTAAAGTACCTGTTGTTTCATTGGCTGGATTGTGGCAGCTGACAAGGTTGTCTGTCCCAAACTCTCCAAAGAATAGTGATTTTAAATGTGAAAAACTGTGTTTTTGTATCCAATGTGGTAATCAATCAATAATTATTATATGTGCCGTTTTACAGGAAAGGTAACGATTTATAAAAATCCTTTTTAGGGTGGTTTTGAAAAAAATAACTCATACAAAGCAAAAAATAGATATTTTAAAAAACCAGTTGATTTTAAATTAGTCATAATCCAGTGTTTCCATGTTGCCAAGAAATACATGGATTATAATTTAAGTAGTCACGCTCTTAAATAATAAACGAAATTTCGGAATCAAGATAATACGAGATTGCAATCAGTTATCAATTTATCGAAATGAATAAAAAACCATTTATTTTTTCTGTTATAGAGCCAGACCCTCATAAGCAAAAAACGTCAGTCGACAACAGGTCACTTTCCGCTATTTTCGTGTAGCGGCTCCAGGCCTAGGTCATTGTATCAGCTTTTGCCACTTGTTCAGCATTATGAATGGGGAATTTTACGCAGCATTTTCCTCGGCCTATCTCCATCAATACCACGTGGCCTCTCTCACAAGTAGATGGGGCACATGATCACTCTGGAATGTCAACAATGTAGAAAGGCGTGGCTTTGTGTCAATCACGGCTAGCGTCGAGTCTACTATAGTTATGGGGGAATAGGTGAGTCGATTTTTCGCACCTGCTGAGTTATAGTATTTGTCAAAAGATACTTAAATAACGCAAATTAAACCTGGTTTTATAGAGATTACATGTTTGACAGTGTAATCATAGGTTTTTTCGTTGTCTTTCAACCATTCCAAAAGGTAAAAATCAGCAAATTTGGTTCACACCTGACACCCCTATTTACGGTGACAAGTTAGTCGGTCGTGGCGTTGTTGGAAATAAGGAGTCCCCAGGTTGTGTCGACCAGCGAATATATTCGCGTAAGTATTTATTGAACAGGAATCGTATAACCTTCAATGTATTTTTCGATTATCATTCTATCGTATGTTCCAAAATCCTTCCCGTTGTAGTGTTCTAAGTCTTCCATCTTGGCCAAAAGTTTCGGGACATTTTGCGGTACAAAAACAACATGGCGGTGTTTGGTTCGGTGGAGGTTGTTCAGTTGAGCTGTCAAAATGTTTCAAAATATCCCGATTAACGTTCTGATAAGCATACTGGTGTACATTTTCACCAATTCTACTTTCATATGAATGATATAAGCGTATTGTTGCTACTTTCCAAAGCGAAAGGCTACGTTGTTTCGTCGGCGAACGAAGTGTGAAGTTTGTTGTTGTATCGGCGGTGCACAGGTTGTGCTGGGCTCCATCGAGGTGATGTGAGAATGCCAGGTATGTCTGTTGCAGTAGGTGCTGGCGCCGCACACTATCACAGCCTATCTAACACGTTAATGTCAGCCCCGTTTTACGGCTGAAAATGTCTGGGTACATCACGATACTCCTGCAACCCTTACAGCGAACCAGCTTCCTGTCTCGGCCTGTTAGTGTTACATCACTGGGGTACACGGCCCGACCAGGCAAAACACTGTCCAGCTGCCACATTTCGCATTTTCCTCAATTACATGTTTACTGTTAGACACCCCCCAATAGTTAGAACAGACCAGTTTCCACTCTTTTACTAACATCGTGTGCCAGAAGTAGCCATTGTTTTGTCATGTCAAAATTTCACTTACATCATGTCATATTTTTACCTTCGTTTGGATGATTTCAGCAATATACATAATATTATTGATTTGGTCATATTGTAGAAATGTTGTTAAATGTGTCTATTAGGATAATAGGTGTGAGTGGACAGTGTTGAATGTGTGTCAACTGTGTTGATATTGAAAGTTAACCACCTTATGTCAGTAACCTACTTTCAGCCTCTAGTGTATAAACAGTGTAACAGCATACTTTGTGTTATTTCTAAGGTTTCGGTATTTACAGATTATGCAGTGTCCTTTATTTCAGCCTAGTGTTATCCCATGTTTTGGTGTATACAACCATTCTATATAATATGCTACGTTTCATTTCATATAGACTAGGCAATATCCCTCTTAAATCAATATGTAAATACATGTACTAGGTATTATATCTTATATTTCAATGTGTTTTGACTGTATATGTCCTATGTTGTCTTGTGTGTTGACTAGATGAAGTCCTTTGTTTCAGTGTGTATTGACTAGATTATGTCATATGTGTTGGTGTATACAACTGTTATATCCTACCTTTCTGTGCATTATGGCAGAATATTGTGAATGTGACATTTAGTATATCCCTCATTTCAGCATGTATACTGTGACTGTCAAGTAGGTTTACATATGTAGTGATGACTAGGGCAATGGGGTAGCCTTATGGTTAAGGTGTTTGCTCATCACAACAAAAAACAGGGTTCCATTCCCCACTTGGATACGATGTGTGAAGGCCATTTCAGGTGACCTCTGCTGCAATATTGCTGGAATATTGCTTCACTCAGTCTTGTAACGAAGATGTATAGACTATTCCTCTATTGTTTAAAAACATTCTGTGCAATGTGGGTAACTTGTAACTTCCCTTGTTTCAGTGTGCGCCAAGGTGTCTGCAGCCCAGACCGGATAGACCAAGAACGCGGCTGCACTCTGCATGAGATACCACAAGATCCCGGAATGTATATTATGTCGCTAGAGAGTGTCACCTAGCGACAAATTCATAGCCACAGCCCATTAGGGCTCTAATCCCTTTCGAAGTTTATTGTTTATTGTTCCTTGCCAGAGGTTGTCAATAGTGGAATATTTATATGGATACCATTTCGTCCAACAACACCATTCAGCGTCAGTGGAGGATTTTACTTATGATACAAAGAAAAAACCTTGGTCTGGAGCTGGCTTAATTCTGATATCCAGTCTCAGACAGTTTTCTGTTGCCATCTCAATACTTGTGTGAATACAGCCTTCAATAATCATATATGTACCACATGAAGGAATACACGTCTTATTTGTTGGGAAATACTACACATTTGGACATACCCTATGAACCGGATGAGCGGAGAGCGAGCGGTACCACAGGCAGCAGGTAGGCGTCCGCTTTTGTCCACGTTTGTCGGAAATAACCGGCACATGCTTCAGGAGATCAGAGACAATCTCAGCCATTTGAGAAAAAACCAAGAGGGAAATGCAGCAGATCTGGCTAACATCAAGCCCGAGTTATCCCAAAGCACACCAAACTTGGTGGATAAAAGTGCTGCCAAGATGACCCGTCTGGATTTATACCACCAGAAGGCGTTGGCCGAGATTCGGGATAGTCTTCGGCCCTTCCAGACTGTGAGTGATACCAGTAGCACTGCCAGCAGTAGCTCGAGCTCACAGGCCAATGGAGACATCGATGTCAACAAGCAGATGCTGCAACAACTTGTGTTGTGTGGGATTGACGAGGTAAGAACCTGCTAGAGGGGCTGTCCCCAAGTTCATGGTTGCTTTACAGGAACCTGGGAGTATTGGTTGGTTTCCAAGAATATGGCTGGGTTGGTTTGCTGGAACCTGGGAGTATTGGTTGGTTTCCAAGAATATGGCGGTGTTGGTTTGCTGGAACCTGGGAGTATTGGTTGGTTTCCAAGATTATGGCTGTGTTGGTTTGCTGGAACCTGGGAGTATTGGTTGGTTTCTAAGAGTATGGCAGGGTTGGTTTAAGAGACAGTTAATTTGGTGTTCACGAACATATACACAGGGACCTTCACAAACATGATAGGTTTGCTTGGTTACCAGTAAGAGCCGGTTGGTTCTTAGGAACATGGTAAAGTTGGTTTCTAGGAATGGTGTGTGTTACCTTACATGAATGGAGTTACTGCCTCACAGGTGAGAGGTGTATCCTTGTGTTTGTATGTGACGGGGATGTCTGTCTGGTGGAGGGTTGGGGTGTGTGACAGCTTTTCACTGAGAATGGGCCTGTCAGCAGTGTTTGAGTGATGAGTTGAGCAGCGTTAGAAATTGGCACTACTCCTGTTGTTCTTGCCAAACTGCCCAGTAGTTAAGGTGTCATAAGGACTTGTAGAAATTTGCCATTTTTAAGGGTGTTATTATATGTTATCATTATAAGGACGAGTGGACTAAAAATGTTAATTTCTACCACTTACCACTGTAGAGGTTTCAAGAAGCGGTAACCAATACCAGACCTAGTCGTCTAAGGCGTCGCAATTTGCTGTGCTGTGAGTTGCGTCCCTTAGGCATGCCAGAAACCTATGATTGTGGATTCGAATCCAAGTTTGCCCCGATTATGTTTCTAGGTTTGTCAGCATCATACCTGTGCTTGTGGGTTTCACCAAAGTGGTAAACGTCTGAGACCTGCATCAGTTCGGGCTTTCCTCGCACATTAAGCTGAAACGCTGTGATATGACTGGAATACTGTTAAAAGCAGCGTTAAACCCAACTCACTCACACCAGAAAGATACACTCAGATTATCCATGTTGGCATCATACGTATTCCAGCTGATGTTGGACTCATTACGTCACCCTGGGTTTTGGATAATTACCACCATCGTCTGTGGATGGTGTGTTTACTGCTGTTCCCAGAATCCTCGCGGGGAGGTCGCTCCGACATTGACATGTGGCCACTCTCCCTAATACCCACACTGCTCGTAGCCTACATCTTGGAACTTTTTGGTAATAGTTATATTTGTGTTCTGGATGAAACTATTATCAGATTATGACCTTATGGATATTAGGAAAATGTCTGAATATTGGGGTATATGTTAATAACGTGTATTTTGTTGTAATTGACACTGATGTGAAACATAGTGCAGTATTGATTATGACATTCTCTAGTTTGTGTAGTTTAAATTACTGAACTGGTTGTATAGCTGTGAGATAATATTGATCTGACAGCAACATGTGTAGAATTACGTTCGACGGGACCTCCGCACCTTGCAATGTCCCAGGTAAATCAGCACAGAAAACCTCTCAATGTGACATCCACACAGCCTCTTTGAGGCGTGGACTGAGGGGACATCAACAAAATAGTCAACGCTATTGTTTTATTTACGCACCCAAAGACTCTGAAACTTTAATTTCATCTGAGATTTTATTATATTCATAAGTATTAATCAATATTGTAGAAGCTATAAAAAATCTCTGGAAATATTTTGCAAAGTATTTAGCCATTTTGCTGTTTTCATGTGTAAGTAAAATGTTCTGATTTGAAATGGTCCCTGAGTGATGGTTTGTGGGCCTGAGGTAATGGTCAAGTGATGTACACCTGGAGGGGTACATAGATCAACAATAGCCCCGGGGTGTCCCCTAGGGCGTACTGTGGATCCCTGTGGGGGGTGGGGCTGACTGGGACCCCTAGGAGCGAGGACAGTTGGAGATACACGGTTTGGGATCGACCTTGACTTACCTACATGAGTCTAACAGCTGGACACTGACCTACCTAGCATGTCAGAATGACTGTGTAAAATCGTGGTCAACTTATTTATGGAACGGGACATTTTTAGGATTTGTTTTCATGAACCATGCTGTGAACCTGGTTAACAATGGTTAATAATAACATGTGATATACCATGTTGTTATTAATGTACTTAATGCTACTTTTTATGAAGGTTTTTTGTTTAGAATGTTTGTTTTTTACAATTTGATGTAAATGAAAGAGTCTTTTTGTCTGTCATGTTTATAAGAATATTCAGTAGTGAATTATTTAAGTTTTTAGGCTAGACTGATATTGAATATGAATATCTATGGACTTTTATTGTAAGAATGATAAATGAATATTTTCAAAGGTAAGGGAAATGTGTTCATTGAAATGGGCTGAACTTGAACTGTTAGGCAATTTTTTTAACCATATTTTTAGACATTTTTTTGTAAAAATTGCATTTGTCTGACAATCTTCTGCCTATCTATTTTTTAAAAGATGATTTGAAAAGAAAAAAAAGCAAAGATACCAGTCCATACTCTTGGTACTTTTATTGACTTCTTGTTATTGTTGTTGTTATTAGTAATAATATTGATGTAGACTGTGCAAACAAACATCAAGACAACAAATCAGTATCATTCAAACAAGAGGACAAAGTAACGTTTCTCCCCAATCAAACCAAACAGAATAGAAAGTAACTGCACCATTGTAAGCATGGGTGACAGATGGGTGTAAGTTTTGTGAGCGAGTGAGTATGGTTTTACAACACTTTTAGCAATATTCCAGCAATATCACGAAGGGGGCACCAGAAATGGGCTTTTCACATTGTGCCGATGTGGGGAATCGAACCCAGGTGTTCAGCGTGACGAGCGAACCCTTTAACCACTAGGCTACCCAACCACCACCCCTGTAAGTTTTGTGAATATCACGTACCATATCATCATGATCATGTATACTATAATTCATATCATAGCTTTTCTTTTTACAAGTAAGAGTCGTGATATAAAATAAACATCTTACCTACAGTCAAGAGAACATAATTAAATGTATGTGTTCTAACCTAAGGCCTTATGTATATTTTAAAAGTTGGTTCACAAGACCAACGGACTCCAAAAATAAGGAAATTAGTGAGAAAAAAATAAAATGACTTTTGACAATATTCTTTTTGGCCTAGTCTTTACCATGTTTACAATCAGGTAAAATGAAGAAAAGACAACATTTTATCACCGTTGTTTGCAAGAAATGATGAATAATATTCATTGAAGTTTTTATTATCAATTATCTTTGGGTATCTTGGTCATGTTAAAGCTTTTTTTTTTTTTATTCATTAGTAGCAGTACTAATCTGGAAGTTGTAAATTATTTATATATTTGGAACACCTACATTGAATCTTAGGACAAAACTTTTGTAAACCATCTAATATAACATTGAAGGCCTCAAAGCTCAGCTGTTGTATTGAGAATCTCAAAATAGCACAGTAATCGTTTTATTTGAGCAAGAAAATAATGCAAACAAATGGGTATTTTTTTCTGTTTCCTGATCCATTTGTTTCCTGCAACTAGGTAGTGTCATCTGTCTGAATGGTACCTAATTATGTGGTGTTAGTTGCTATGACAACCTCACAAATGATTATATCTGATTATCACTACCAAAATCTGTCATCATAGGTCAATGGTGGCCATGAGTTAGGCAGTCTGAGAGTCATTGTGATTGGGTCAATACCATATGTGTTCATGTATCACTGGGTGATGGCTCGGCTATAATGAATATGTTGGATGTTGAAGGTGCTAAACATGTCAATTACCTGCACAGGTAAACAGGCTCGTCAGGATTCTGTGCCAGTAGCTATACGTCATGTTTTGATTCATCAGCGATATGAGGAAAAATATTCCATTTTCTCCAAATAGGGCAAGCGGTTTATCTTATTTCATCTTTATCAGCATGGTCAGTGATTCCATAGGACATGTACAGTTATCTATAATCAGTTTTGTAATTAAGAGTGACTATGAATTATTGATAGCTGTATTTAACTTATTTAATCCCTGTTTATCGAGTCTCAGGTTTTAATTTTCTGAATTTTCACAAAATTGCTTAAGGAGATGTCTGTTCACAAAGTTTTTTATAATAAAGTTTTAGATGGTAGAATATTTATCAAGATTTTAAGTTTGGCCTAACGATGGCCATTAATGGGAAATAAAAGTTTTAATAAGTTGACAGAGTGGCCTAGAATTAGCAGGAATTATTAGTGGATTGATTAGCGATAACATTACGACAACATGTCTAATTATGAGTACAAGTATTCAATTAAACCAATGATTTTCTGTGATTGTCGATAATTGTTTTCACTATAATTCATAAATGCAAAATCAACTATAATGTCTGAGCTCTGGGTAAGCTGAATATTTGTGTAAAATACACATAAAGAATCACCACAACCCCAACTTTGAGTAGTTTGTGTACAAATATAAATTATAAAATTAAAAGACCCCAAAAGTACAACAAGACCATGCATAATTATCCATTGTAATCTTTTCAGCTTGCATTCCTGTATGCCCTTACTGATCCTCATTTACTGATTGAATGCAGGCATCACATATATAGGAACTTTACTGCTGTGAATAATGAAAAGAATGTCTCGCTTAATGTATCTTAGACTTGTATCAGTGTTGTAAACTTATGTGACATGAGACATGTTTATAAAAAGAACCCACCTTTTACTTGTAGACAACTTTTAGATATGATGTTAAATCTTTAATACAATTCTTGTGACTTATCAGTACAGTATATATTTTAAGTGTATGCTGCCAGCCACCTTATGATATATATTAATTTTTGCGTACCATGAATTAAAACAAATGTAATATCTCTCTATATAATGTACATTATGTATATATCATGTATATACCGTTCATGCCTGTAATTATATTTATTCCCATATGTAGATAGTTTGTACCCTGCCCTACGAGGGTGTTCTGTACAAAAACATTCTTGGCACATGAAGACCCTTGGTAGAAGAGGTCTTCAGCAACCC